TGGAAATGAGTGCAGGCAAGTAAACAGCAGGTGGGATAGAACAAACCAACCAAGTTCCAATTTTTTTTCCTGTATTATTCTTTTTGTATGCAGCCTTGTGTTATGGGGAACATTTTTTTTATTGATGAGCACCAGACACTTTTTGACCAAACATTTATGGACATGTTGCAGCTGCAGGACATATAAATGTGCATTTAGGGTATCACTGCATTTTATTATTTATTTTATCATAATTATTTATTCTAAATGAATAATACCCCAACAATCTCACCACACATCTATTATCTTTCTCATATGGATCTCAGCTTTTGGTGTCAGTTATGGAGATTTATCCTTGTCAATCCATTGCCTTTTGTATTGAACATTGCTATATGGAACCCATTTTTTACCAACTGTAATGATACACAAAGAACACTTAGTTAGGATGATATATTCATCATTATAATTGGTTCACAATAACAGAAATTATTTATGACTCAACCTCATAGACTAGATTTACTTCTCACTGGTATGAATCAATGAAAACAAAAAGATTTTTTAATTAAGGGTATTATGAATGCATTTTTAATTAACTAAAAACCACCCAGTTTGTAAATATTTTTATGCACGAAGTAGACTATTTCTCTCAAAATTAACCCCAGTGATAAAATAGGTTAATGCAACCTCAATTAAATGCTGCTACTTTATTTGCAGATAGAAGACATATGTTCCTTTCTTCCTGATTTTTGTTTTCATTGTCTAAACATATGGGAAACAGTTTAAAAAGGATACAAAACAAAAGATGTGTCCTTTCATTGAGTGCTTACAGCAGACACCCATCTTCTCCTAATTTACATTTTTAGATTCATGGCAACACATGCCACCATGATTTTCTTCAAGGACAAAAGAGGTTTTAGCAAAGTACAACTTTAACTATTCTTTTTCAACTCCACTTCATTCTGAAATTTGCAATTAATTATTTTCAACAATACTTTTAATGAGCACTTTTGAACCTTTTCAAAGGTCAGCTTTCATATCTGAAAAATCTCTGTGGGATTTCAGACATGATTATAACACGGTTTATTAGCAGAGCCAGTAACACTAAACACATTTAGAATTTCCATAGCAAATGCAATATTAGTCATTTACTTATAATGAAACTTTCGACAGTCATTGACCATGCAGTTATACTTTTCTTTACTTCCTGGCCATCTGGCTGGGATCAAAGTGTAATATCTGCTCCATTCATCTCTAATGGCAATATTAGCTTTTTCTTTATAAGGAAACTTTCAGCATTCATTAACAGAGCAGCCAGTGCTACATACAGTTACAATTAATAAAATCTTTCTCTCAAAACAATTTTTCAGGAAAATAGATTTCTCAAGTCCATTAGCTGTTACCAGCCTTTTCAGTATAGAGGTTTCCTTCTTAACTTTTTGTTTGAAATAATGTGGAACATCAACATCTTGTCTATGTTATTTTCTCTTCAAGTTGCATGTGCTATTTTAGTTGCTGCTGTTGAAGAAAGTCCTCAAGTGATATGGTTTCTGTTATTTGGTTTAGTTCTTTGTGATTCTATAGCCCCAGTCCACTAGAAGAAGTATGGTGCTCTCTAAGACCTTCATAGAGTTTGTAAATAGTTTTTATCTGATTAAATTAGCAAAATCAAAGAAAGTTCATTGAGGTCCGTTCTTAAATTGAATCTGACTGAATATATGGCTGATTCTCAAAAAAGTTGGTAATAAAATAAGCAGGAATATTATGTAGTAATTATAAACAACTACTGAAATGATGGGCATATGGCTGAGTGGTTAGAGTATTAGCATTCTGCCCATGAAACCCGTGTTCAAATCTCACCATGGTTGATTTGAGGAGGAGACGACTTCTTGATAATATCAATCTGGGGAGACAATCCTAGCATGTGACATTGTTGGGAAGTGCCTGAAAGTTATACCACAGGTTCAGTGAAACTGAGTAGACAAACTTGTTTGGAAGTTGTAAGTGGTTGTGCTACCAATGAAGTCACAAGTCCTCACCTCATGGCCAAATAGCTCTTTAGCCATAGTTGGCAATCTAGAGATTGTATCGCAATAAAAAAGCACCTATACTACAGCAGCTGGGCCACTCATAGGGACATATAGGCCTAAACAAAAAAAAAAAAAAAAAAAAAAAACAACCAAAAATAGAATTCATGTGAATTTGTAATCTTCAGTAGGTAGAAACAGTCGTAATTTTTTTTTTTCATTACCTGATGTGTATGAACTGAAAAATTCTAGATGGAATCTTGTGCAAAATGATTGGATGAAGAAAGGGAGAGAAGTTATAAAAATCAAATTCATGAGTTTTTGTTTTGATTTTTAGTGAAATTATGAGGTTTCTTGGAACCTGTTTTCTGAGTGCAAAACTGAAGTGAAAGTTCTTTAGCAAGGAAAGTAGGGGATAACTTTAGAGAAAATAGTGGAAAATTCCACTATGATTCAATCAATCATTTCCATTTATAGATTTATTTTTTTGTTTAAATGACAATATGAAGTGTATGAGTGTATCATCAGTGGTAATACCTTTGCAGCAAAGCAGTCAACCCTGATTTACTCAGGTGAATTGGTATGCAGAACTGTACTGGTCTATAGTGTAGATTTAATTCTCACACATGGCTCCAAGAACACACATGGGCACTGTGTCAGCTACACTCTGGGTCAACAGCATTGACCTACTGGCTAAACTGTGTGAAGGTAGTAGGAAGGGTTTCCCAACCGGACTGGTGAAGAGAAACATCTCTCCCCAACCCATGCAGACCAGTCGCCAGCATAAGAGCTACACCTCAGAAATCAATGGCTTTACCAGTAGGTCAAGGAACTCCTGAGAGGAGGGATGGAGTAACAATATCCCTGGTGCAAAAGGAACCAATATGCAATTGCACTATTTCACTTTGAAGGTCACCATGAATCACAATTACAACAGAGGGGAGTGGTGACCACAGCAGCAGTGCAAAATATGCTCTAACTGAAGAATTCATGATGAAAATGACAATATACCTCAGAATTATTACATCAGGTTGTATGAGGATGTTTTTATATACTGAAACACTTGACCAAAGATAACAACAGAGATAAAAAAAAAAAAGAAAAAAAAAAAAAATCAATGTGAAAAGAAAACAAGAAATTCATTAAAATATATATATATATATATATATATGATTGTTTATCATTAGTGCATTCTGTACAGGTGTGCGTACATATATAAACAAACAAACACACACATAATGAAGAAAAAAAAAAAACAACCTAAAACCAACAAAAAGCACATAAATTATTTTTTTAACTTAATATAAAAATGACAAAAATAAGAAAAATCAGTCAATTGCTGATACCTCCTGACAAACATACCGAACTACTACAAACAAGGTTCATCTACGAAAATCTGAAGTCATGGTGCAGAATATAACACGAATCAGCTAAGCAACAAATTTCAAATTTGTATTAATCATATATATATATATATATATATATATATATATATATATATATATATATATGTGTGTGTGTGTGTGTGTAGCATGACTCAGACTTTCATACACAAACAAATCTTCAGATGCTGAGTAGAGAATTATGTAATGGTCTATCTCTACTCAGCACCTGAAGATTGCGTTTGGCATCAAACACCACATCATGCTACCAGTAAGGAATTATATATATATATATATATATATATATTATTTGAATAATCAAATGTTCAAAGTTTGACTATCCAAAATATTGTGTATACTAATTTAGCATAGAGGTAAGTGTAAAGTGTCAATCAAGTAAAAGCCAACAATTGAGAAAGTAGACAGTATTAAATCCTGTGGTTTCTAAATCATTGGCAACAGAAGATTTAAAGAATTAATAAATCTGTTTCTTTAAGGTAAATAGTTTGAAATTCTGAGAATATTGTCATTATTCTACAAATGATTTTGATAAGTATTCTCATAGGTTTCATAATAAATACTTGAAGAAAGCCAAAGAATTTAATTCATTTAGTAAGGAAGGATCCAATTATAGAATGGTTCTCAATCTTCATCAGAAATGCTTACAGACAATTCAGTTATAAAACCCACAATGAGAACAGTAAGATTTTTAAATCTAAAATCTTGATTTCATATTTTTTTTTATAATCATTTTCAATTTGTTTTCAGACAAAAGAGCTGACAGTGGCATTAAATTTTGAACTGATCTGTAAAATTATAAAAATTTCCTTGTCAATAACACAATATTCAGAAAGAGCCTAATCTTTTCAAGTTTTTATCAAATAAGCATATTGTTCAAACTGAATAGACTATAAAGTATATTTTATTTTGAGAAACACAAAAGACTAAACTGTTTATCATATCTCCTTACAAGAAACTGGTTTTCAATGTATCTATTATTATACCAATAAGAATTTATTCTTTGCAATTCAAAATTATTCTTTTCAAGATAAAAGAACTTCTAAAGAAACTAAAGAACATTTATAAGTTCTTACATAATTTTTTTTTAATACATAAAACTATTTCAGCAATAATCTTTAATATAAAATAAATAAATCATGGAGTTGCTGTACAACCATAGAGACAAAGATAATTTCTTTACCTCATCCCACATTAATTACCTCTAACACTGTAAAAGAATGCCAACAGGGGTAATGCAGAGAATTTTTAGTAGGTATATTGGAATCAGGAGAGAGTTTGAGTCTTAATGGTATTGAAGAGTTACAATGCATAATCTGAGAAGTGGGGTGATCCCTATGAGAGCTAAGAGTAACAAAATAAAGGAAGAATTCACATTGAATGAAAAGTTTGTTACACCAAAAAAAGTATTTATTAGAAAAGGGACAGACAAAGGAAAATGGTTGAGGAAACTTAAATAGCACCTTCTGTTGAATGCACAAAATGACAAATAGTCTGATCTACATTCTAAAAAGACTTTTGGGACTAAATTTTTAATTCAAAGGCTTCTATTGCAGCCATCATCTTTTGTTTGATTTTAAGGATTTGAAAATAACTTTTGGCCATATCATGTCAAAACACCAGTTCCCATACTATCACTGAAGTTAAGCAAAGTTGAGCATGGTCAGTACCTAGACGAGTGACCACTTGGGAATACCAGGTACTGTAAACTTGTGTGGGTAGCGTAATGCATAATGGCTCAGAATTGTTAATCAGAAAATTGAGTTCTAATTCCAGTTTGGTCTGTTATATTCACTTACACACAAATATCCTTGGGAAAGGTATTAATCCACTTCTTCTCCACCCACCCACCAGCTATGAGTTAATTAGTGAGACTTATATCACTAAATCATTATTATCTAAAAAGAAAAAAAAAAATTCTTACAATTTAAAAATATTTTCTGGCTTTAAATAACCTGCAAAGGATTGATAAGTCTTAGAAAATGAATCAATTGATCATAAAAAAATAAAATTAAAGAAATTATGTTGGCATTTTATGTTTTCCATACATTTTTTCTAGATATTATACACAGACATACACTTATATTTTAATCTTTTCACATTTTGTTGATTTTTTTTCTCTTGATTTCAGACCACAAACAAATTTTAAGGAAATGATCAAGGACCTCCATAATACAACAATAGTACTAATTTTCCTTCTCTTTCGTGAATATATTTCATAAGTGTAATTATTCAGCATGTTAAAAATTCACATCTTTTAATGATTTTATGACCCCCAACATCATAGCAATGTACATAAAAAAAACAAATAAAATGAAGTAATTTTTAACTTTGTTGCAGTCAGAAAAATTTTAAATATAAAATTTACAAAATTACACTATGTAAAATAATTAGTGATAATAAAAATTTTAATGCTTTTATGAATTTTAGATTAACTACAAAAATAAAAATGATTTTAGTCACAGCTGAAATTACTGCAAATTTTGTAAAGAGATTAATGACAATAAGGAACATGAGAAATAAAATTAATGTCCTCTAAAAATGGCATGAATCTAAACATCCCTGCATTTTCAATTGTCATTCATTTTGAATATCATCAAATATAAAAACAATCTGTTCTTCTAATTAACTACAAGGAAATGTTTTTTTATTTTGAGGTAGTGACTGCCAGCTATGACAGAAACCAATGTCAAAGTAAATTTTCATGGGGAAAACTTTGATATTTTACTGTCCAAAGAATGCTAAAATTCTAAGCTTAACATTATGTTTTCAATATCTGAAGCATGTGTGTAACAACAAATCCACAAACCTAACACCAAAATAGAACTTAAGAACTATCAATAGTGAATACCTATGCTTAAACACTACATCAGCAAGTACCATTTCCAAAGGACAGAATTTAAACTTGATGGGTTTGTCTGTAGAATTAAAACAAAAATTATTGAGTTTTAATCATTTCAAATGTGAAAAAAAAAGTCATTCACATGAAACAGAAAATCAGAAATTGAAAAAGAAAAAAAAATTTCAGGCTTATCAATAAATATTAAAACACCTGCAACAGGTGTAAGATTGGATTAAAAATATTTGAGAGAGGGAGGGAGGCAAGCAGGTAAATAGAATATAAATATCTGTCATTCATTGAAAAACAAACAAAAAAGAAATCAGGTACATAGCAGTTTTGTTTGAACAAGTGTTACAATTGGCAAACAGTGTGTCTGCTCAAATGGAAACATGATAAAAGAATAAATACTTATTACAGACAAAATATTTATTGAAAAAACAGTTGCTGGGATTTGTGTTTAAGATAATAAAAAAAAAAAACAAAAAAAAAACAGCTATATAATTTCTTTTTTCAGTTTTTGTATTATTATGTAGTGTGTGTAAGTTTTTGCTTGTACAAATTATGTAACATTTGGGGATGAAAAATCATTAATCTAAAATTCCAACACTCACAAAAAAAAAATAAAAATAAAAATATAAAAAAATAAATAAATAAAATAAAAAGTATGCATGAGCATATTATATATATATATATATATATATATATTAGAATAGTTTTAAGGAATGCTATGTTTATGGGTTAAATTGCTCAATACCAGGGATAGAGCGCATGTAAATATAAAAGTAGACATGGCCTGAAGATTGCATTCAAGCATGAAGCATACTGTCACCACTGAGCATTGATGTCAATATCCACTTATATGTATGTGTGTCACACACACACACACACGTGTGTGTGTGTCACAAAAACATTGTTCCTTGTCAAGGTTGATAATAGAGGTAACAGCATTTTTGCCCAACTTTACATTATGGCATGTTGGTTAAGGAGACATTTTTTTCAAGATACCTGCTGATTAGTCAGTCAGAAGAGTTAGAAAAAGAATTTCCCAAAGACATTAATGCAATGTGAATAATGAAAAACCTCAGTTGAAATTTCAATTGCTTACAACTTCCATTATGATACCTCTCCATGCCTAAAAATTGATTTAGGGGAGGAGGAATGACTTGAGAAAATAAAGGCTTACTTTTACAAAAGGGAAACATCTAACAAAATGGATGGAAGGAGAACATCTATTGAAGAAATCAAAACTATTTGATTCTGTGGAAGGAATTTCTCTTTTTAATTTTTTAAAATTCAGTAATTTTTTTGTAAGCATCAGAGATAAAAAAAATGTCAGGTTAATCTTGTAAGTCAATGTAGATCCTAGAAGTAAATCAACTGACATATTTTGCATGCAAAATAAATAAATAAATAAAAGGAAAATTTTCTCTTTGTTATTTTAATAATCTGCAGTAAAATAGTACTTTTGTTTCTCTTAAAATCTATCTTTAGTAAGTTCATTCAATTGGTCTATTCCAATAAATACTTTTTTCAATAACTTAAACTGATTTCCACTGCAATTATCAATAAAGCAATAAATCATATAAAACATTTGCATTTGATCTGTCTTGTTTCCCCCAACAACAAAAAGAGAACATTCAATAAATAAGGTTCTATCACAAGTTTTCTATTGAGCACTTGACAAAAATTCTACAGGCCTTGAAATATGGTAATTTTACATATTTTGATAGGTATTATTGATTTTTTATATATATATATATATATATATATATATATATATATATATATATATAGAGAGAGAGAGAGAGAGAGAGAGAGAGAGAACAAATTATTTTTATTGACATGAATTATACGTTTTAGAAAATTATAGCAACTTCCTGCATTTCCTGTGTTTGCAGGAAATATTTATGGAGAGTTGGGGATCATTAATTAATAAATTAACATTAATTAATTAACAACATAATAATTCATACTGCCATAATTATCATTTCAACTTGTTTAATGCTTTGCCATGTAAAAAAAACATCAAAAGAACAAAAATATTTTGAAAATAAGGATGTGAAAATGAAATTTTAAACATATTAACTTTGAAAAAGGTGATAGATTTTTCATATGAAACAAAAAATTCTCATGGTAAAGATACAGCCTTTAACCTTTTGAACCCTGAAACCTGACCACTTCTGCTTATGTTCTGATTAAATTTCACAATTTCAGAACTGTTTATGTAACAAAACAAATTAGCAGTGAAGAGCAACAAATAGCCAGTAAAAAGTTACTCATGTGAAGAGCCTTATTTCATTTACATGTTAAGCCATGTAATTCTTTTTGGTATGCCAGTCCTCCTGGTAGGAAAGGCCCTGTTTTACACAAAGGCAATACCAATCTTCTTGAAAATCTGAAGCAAACACTTTATTCAATCTACAAATGTAGACTATTCTAATTCTACATTCCATGCATAGGGAAGATAACTCTTATCAGTTAACACTCTCCAGTCTATTCATCTTTGTATCCCCTTTTCTGTTTCTTCCACTGTACCAGAGCATATAACTTTTCTACATTATCCAATCCAAAGATTGAACTCAAGACTGCCAGGAAAACATATATATTTTAACCAATTAGCCCATGTCTCTCTTAAAGAATCCAGTGATGTAAGCTTTCACACACATACAGCCTTCTTAAAATTCACAAAGATATTATTTTATAGAGGTCAGTTGTCAATGCTCAGTCTGTCATCTGCTGAGCAGATTCTCATAGATATAATTACCTCACTAACAATGTAAGTTTCCATCCTATGTAAAAAAACAAAAAAACAAAAAACTGTACACATTGTGGAAACCATCAGAGATGCTCCTAGTCAGACCAACTGGATAGTGAGCTTGGATGTTGTGAGCCTATTCACCAATGTTTCTACAGATGAGGTTTTATCAGTGATCCCTCCTTTGGAGTGTATACAAGTGTCCCAAATAGATAACCTGATGGAGATGTTGACATTCTATGTGTAAACAACATACTTCCAATTGGGTTCTGATACATACAAACAGGAAGAAAGCTTAACTATAGAAGTGCCATTCCACAAACTTATTCATGGTACATGCAGATCATTTTTGCAATTTCCTGTTTTCTTAACTTTCACAAACTCTAAAAGTTTTTTTTAAACATTTCACTTTATCTGTCAAATCAGCATTACTACCCATTTTAACGCTTCAAAACCAAAATGTGGCCACAAAATTTGAAATTTAAGACATTTCAAACAAATAACTATTGTTTATTTACATCTGCACAGAATGAACCAGATTTCGTTTAAACTGCACAGATAAACTTTTAGTTTCTAATAAATATTTATTTTATATAATTTATAAAACATGAAATGGCTAATAATCTGAGATACTGTTTATTATAAAAAGAAAAATACAATCAAGAAGTTATCTCAGAATCTGGAGTCATCCTGGGCATTTTATGATATTAACTTTTTCAGTCTTTAGAGGAAAGGTTATTATTTAGGAAAGGCAGAGCAAAGAAACTCAATTAAAACTAATGTACCTGAGAAAGTACCTATTTTTAGACTGCAATCAGAATGGTTAAATGGCACTACTCCTAAATACAAGCAATATGGTTGGCAACAAACACTCTCTATATAACAACTATCTTTTGGGCACCTTGAGGTGGTGTAATGGTTAGCAAACTTGTCTCGCTAGAACAATTATGACTGAGTAGTGAGTTCAATTCTCACTGGGTGCCTCCCTAATTTCGGCCTTGTGCCACACCTAACCTATGCTTGGAAAATCAGTATAACTACTCTCCTTTACAGAATCCATAGCAGCAAGACTACTGTGCCTTCTATTTTATTATCAGACTGGATGCTTTTA